AAATCTTTAAAAAAAAAATAAAAAATAAAAAATAAACAAAATTCTGGGGGAAAAATGTTAATCTAGAAGTGTAAATCTAGCCAAGTTATTAATCAAGTGAGAAAACAAGATAAAGACATTTTTATACATGCAGGGGCCCAAATACTTTAGCCAGGATATTACTGGAGGATGTATTCCACAAAAATGAAGTACAGTTGACCCTTGAACAATGCAGGGGTTAGGGGCACCGACCCCATGCAGTTGAAAATCCTCTGTAACTTTTGACTCCCCCAAAACTTAACTACTAATAGCCTACTGTTGACCAGAAGCCTTACTGATAACATAAACAGTAGATTAACATGTATTTTGTTCGTTATATGTATTATATACTGTATTCTTACAATAAGGTAAGCTAGAAAAAAGAAAGTCATAAGGAAAAATGCATTTACAGTACCGTACTGTATTTATTTTTTTTTTAAATGCACACATAAGTGGGCAGTTCAAATTAGTGTTGTTCAAGGGTCAACTGTAGTAACTCAAGAGAAAGGAAGAGACGACATTAAGGACAGAAGAAACCCCACACAGGAAAGAAATGTAGGAAAATACCCAAGAGAATGATAATATCCCCAGAGGACAGCTAACAGGTATAGAGAAAATCAAGTTTTAGATTGTAGCAGGAAAAAAACTTGAGAAATGTCTTCAGGAAAAACAAAAACAAAAACCTCAAATACTAGTTTTCTTGTTGCATTTGACTCCATAACTCCTCAAGATTACTGAGAGGATGTGTAGTGAAGAATTAACTTCACCTAAAACCTTTGTCTGAGCTCCTAGAAGGTAACCTCGAAAACTGTAGAATTTACCAAGTGATAGGAGTGTCTCTGTTCATGGTGGGCCCCATACCACACCTGATACTTTATGATAATGAGGTGACTTAATGGTGGACCCCTCAATAGTTTATGCTAAGGAGATGACTCAGGGTGGGGACAACCACACCAAAAAGACCAACTGTGTGATTAGACCTTTGGGGCATGGAGCCATACAAACCCCTGACCTCTAGGGAGTGGAGGGGGCTGGAAATCAACTTTGTTCACATGGCCAATGACTCCATCAATCATGCCTATGTAATTAAGTCTTGATAAAAACTCTGGACATAGGAGCTTGAGTGGGCTTCCTGGGTTGGCAATACTCCACGCACATATTGCCACTCATTGACACTAGGAGGGTAATACACCCATGGAGACACAGGTTTGACATCTGGGACTCTCTAAGCCCCAGATTCTGCTCTGTGTCTTTTCTTTTGGCTGGTTCTAATTTGTATTATTTTGCTACAATAAAATTGTAATAACAAGTACAGTGTTTTCCTGAGTTCTGAGACTTGCTACAGCAAGTTATCAAAACTGAGGGCATCTGTGAGACCTCCAAATTTATAGCCAACTGTCTGAAGTGAGGGTGGCCATGGGGAGGTCTGAGCTTACAGTTGATGTTGGAAGTCTAGAGGACTGTGCCCTTAACCTCAAGTTTGGCCCCCACTTCAGGGCCTTTGTACTAGCTGTTCCTTCTGCCTAGAATGGTCTTCTCCCAAATTTCCATGTTTCTCTCCCTTCTCCCCCTTCAAATCTTTGCCAGATTTGACCTTCATCCCTGACAACTCTATTTCAAGTCGCATCTCTCCTCTCATTCCTTATTGCTTTTTCTGCTTTATTGTTTTCTGTACCATTTATTACTATCTGATCTCCTACACAGTTTATATATTTGATCACTATCTCTTTCAACCCCCTATCTGGCAATACTACATAGAAATCTCCTTAAAGATGGGGATTTGTTTGTTTACTGATGTATCTTGAGTGTCTATTGTATAATTAGCACTCAATATATATTTGCTGAATAAATGAACCTTATAGGGCACCTGGGTGGCTCAGATGGTTAAGCGTCTGCCTTCGGCTCAGGTCACGATCCCAGGGTCCTGGGATCGAGTCCCACATCGGGCTCCCTGCTCAGCGGGGAGCCTGCTTCTCCCTCTGCCTCTCTCTCTCTTATGAATAAATAAATAAAATCTTTTTAAAAAATTAAAAATTAAAAATTAAAAAAATAAAGACAAGTGGAAAAAAAATTTGTTTGTTTTATTTCTAATCAGAGGATCAGAATTAGAAAAATGAGTGGTCTCAAGGAAGTTGTCAAGATTGCAGTTGTGATAGGTTTCTGAAAAGAAATGTGAAGAACACAACTCTTCCTTCTCATGTAAAGATGACAATGAATAGAATCATATTTATAATGTAATATTTATACATAATATAAAAAGTATGTCCCAAAAGAGTATACAGTAAAAAATAATGCCCTTCTTTGTCCCTACCCACCCTCTTGACCTCAATGGCTGCCACAGAAATTATTTTTATTAGTTTCTTTTGCAAATTTCAGTTCTTTATGCAAACACAAATACTTATTCTTATCCATTTCCCCCCTTTCTTATACAAAAAGTAGAACAGTATCACATAAGGTTCTGCATGGTGTTTTTGTTTTCATTAATATATTTTGGAGGCTTTTTGTATCAGGCCATAGACAGTGTTCTCAGTTTTTTCTCCAATTACATAATGTTGCATTATGTTCAATGGTTTATTTACGGTTAATCTTCACTATTGTGAAGACTGCTATATGAATAATCTTGGATATACATCATCATAACTGTAGGATAAAATCTCAGAAGTGGGATTGCTCAGTGAAAAGTTAAATGCAATTGGAATTTTGATATATGCTACCAAATTGCCTTCCAAAAAGTTTGTACCAATCTGCAGTCCCTCTAGCAATATAGGTTTTCAAATTTGGGGAATTTCTGCCATTCTAGTCTGTAAGAATCAATATCTATATAGTTTTAATGAAAGTTATCTGATTATGAATGAGGTTGAGCATATTTTCATACATTTGAGAACATGAAGACTATGTTCTGTGTATTATTTGTTAATCTCTTTCTCCATTCTTACTGGATTATTAGTCTTTTAATCAATTTTTTTTGGTGCTCCTTATATATTAGGGAGGTTAGCCATTTGTTTGTAACTATAAAATGCAAATTATGTTTCCAGTTTGCCACTTCAACTTCTTTTTTCCATTTAGAAAGGATAATTAATCTTTTATGGTTTGATTTTTAGAATCTGAAGTTAGAAAGGTCTTCCCCCCCTCCATGGTTATAAAGTAATTCACTCAAGTTTTCAGTCTTTATAATTTAAGTTTTTTGTTTCAATTTTAAATTTTGACCCATTTGGAGTTAACTCTGCATTCAGTACAGGTCATAATCCACTCTTTTTTCTAGAAAGTCTATCAAGTTGTCCCTATTACCTTTGTTGAAAAGTTCACATTTTCCCCATTCACCTGAGGGGTAATCTGAGATGCCCTGTTCACCATACACTAAACTTCTTTATTTAGTTCTATTTTTGGATTCTCTATTCTGTTCCAGTTCTATTTTTGGATTCTCTATTCTGTTCCACTGGCCTGTCCAGTCAGATGACAATCCCATATTAGTTAAATTTTTGAACTTTTAGAATATGTTTTGTTATATCATAAGACTAGCCCCATGTGCCCCACATTGCTTTTTTCTTCCAGTCTATTCTTGCCTTTGTTTTTACATTTTAACTTTACTTTTTAAAAAAATATTTAAGTAATCTCTACACTCAACATTGGGTTTGAATTCATGACCCCAAGATCAAGAGTCACTTGCTCTTCTGACTGAGCCAGCCAGACTACCCTCCATTTGAACTTTAGAGTAACTCCTACCTATCTAGAGAAAGATATTATTTTCAGTGGGATGTTAAATTCATAAATTAATTTAAATGACATGTTTATAATGAAGGATTTCTATTCAAGAATGTGGTATAACTTTTCATTTAAGTCTTTTTTTGTGTATCTTCATAGGGTCTTAAATTTTTTCTTAAACAGGTCTTATTTATTTCTTACTAAGATATCCTGAAGAATTTTATCCTATTCCAAGGTTTTGTTTGTATATACAAAATTTACTTACACGAATCTTAGACCCAATCTTACTTTCTCCTTTTATTTAAAATTATGTTGGGCACCTGGCTGGCTCAGTCAGTGGAATATGTAACTCCTGATCTCTGGGCTGTGAGTTTGGGCCTCAGGATGGATGTAGATTACTTAAAAACAAAATCTTCAAAAAAGTAAAATATAATAAAATTATTAAAAGCAACTGTAGTAAATTCTTGGAGAAAGCACCTTTGCAAATAAGAGCAACCTATTTTTATAACCAACAAAATCCACCTGGCCTAGGGGTAACCCGAAGGAATTATTAGTTTATCTGAGTAGGCTCCTTGAGAAACTTTAAACTTTTATTCTTTGATCTCTCTAAGGCCAGTTTTTTCTTAAGAAAATGGGAATAACACTAATTCACTTTTCTGCTATTTCCAATGGTCGACACTACCCTCCAAACTTTCTTACTCCAGGATTTCACAAGTCAGCTCCCTTAGACCTACACCCTTCCCTCAGGACATTAAAAGAACAAAGAAGCCTGAACTGCTTTGTCTCTAGGATCTGTACTCTAAGCAAGAGCAAACACCCCATTAAAAAAAAAAAAAAAGAAAAAAACCCAGTTCCTTTCAAACAGACTTTCTCTTTTAAAAAAACAATGCTATTTTTATTTCAATTCCATAATAATGCTACTGTTTTTACACAAAAGTCAAGCTTTAGCTCACTTCATAGCTCAATTATGTAAACTTCCTCCCATAAAAAAAAAAAGATGTCCTAGGAAAATCTATCCTTGTTACTGTTTTACCACTGAGGCTCAGCGACTACTCTCCAAGATATAATCCCACTCATACATACAGTGATACTTATTTAAATCACCCATTACACACACACACACACACACACAATCCTGAGTCCCGTTTCTCCCTCTTTCCCGACCCCCAACATCCCAAATCACACACACCGGGAATCTCATTACTTGCTTCCTGCAAAGGCTGTCTCACCGCCTCCTCATTCTCCTCACGCCCTGACTTTCATTCAGAAACCAGTAGCACAGAAAAATACCAGCCCCCTTTGCAACGTGGGAAACCCCTCCCTTTTGGCCTCCACAACCCCGTTTCAAGTTTTAGCGATTCCTCCCTCTGGACCTCCCCAATCCCGTCGCAACTTTCTAATCTCCTTCGTTTCGGTCACCCCAGCTTTCAGTCTCAGAAGTTCAGGTCCCACAATTCCTCCGCAGTGAGGAAACGCAAGCCAAACTCACGCCCGAACAAACACCGAAAGGGCAACCCAAGAAGCCTGCGCACTCCTTGGACGCAGCGACACCCCCAGAAGTCTCTGGGGTGTAGCCCGGAGCAAGCTGTGAAGAATGCCGACGAATTTCAAACGGTCCATCCACCGCTTTCCCGGCTCCGAACTACAGTTCCCAGAAGGCTCAACGGTGCGAATAGTCTTACCTAAACCAAACCAGCCCTCCTCTTCCTGAGCCCGTATTCTGGGGATAATAAGGTGGGTCCGAGAAGCAATCCCATTTCAAACACGTCGGAGTGGCCTTCCTTGGAGGCCACTGCCTAAGACTGAACCAGGCTCTGCGTGGCCTCCGGTGCGCGGTTCCATAAAGGGGAGCAATCCTTTAAGCAAGCGGGGCTGCAGCTAACCCCTGAGAGAAAGCCTGGCGACCGGGAGCTATCTTGTTCGCCATAGGTAATTTTCTGACTACATTTCCCAGAGAACTCCTCGGCATCATTGTGATTCTCGCGTGAATTCAGCCTCAAAGTCACGCGCTGGCGGGACCTTCGGGTCTACACCGGCAACTGTTGCAGCGCTGTGGGGACTTCTGCTGTTCTGGAAGCTTGGAAGGCCTGAGGTGAGGATCCCCAGGAGAGGGCGGAGCCGGAGGCTCGGCTTTGTACGGCTGGGTAGGTTAGATTGAAATTGTAGGATTGTGTCTGGCGGGATGTGGTGAATGACCGTGTGGTTGTGACTAGCTGTTCCTATGGTGAGTAAGTGCTTCCAGTGATTACCAGTGTGCAGCACAGTCTGGGAGCCCGTGACTGTGCTGGTAAGATTGGATGCGACCCGGTGGTGTGTGTGTGATTGGGACCACGTGCGGCATTGTGTGTGAGGGTGTGGGGAGCTTGTGACTCCGTGGATGTGATACAGCGTTTGTCCCCATAAGGGTGTGTGATTGTGCGACATTGTGGCCGTGTGCTGCAGAGTACAGGTGGGGGTACCTGTGAATACTATGTGGTTTTATCTGTGGTTAGTGTGATTGTGACTGTGCGACCATCTGCAGGTGTCAGGTACTTGTGACAGTGCGGTTGTGACTGAATGTCCTCTTGGTAAATGTGTGATTGTGCCCATGTGACCATTTGAGGCCCTGGGTGTGCTTTGGTTGTGGGTTACCTCTAGCTGTATGTCCCCGTAGTGGTTGTGTGATTGCTTGGTGAGTGGATAAATGTACGAGGTTTATTCACTTAGGTTGTCTACCTAAGTATTATACTGTAGTTTTCCCTCATTTTAAAACTTTTACAAATGCTATCGTATTGTCTTTTTTCTTTTTCTTTTGTTTATTTGTACAACTATGTTTTTGAGAATTGTCATATTCGGTATAGTAGTGGTTCATTTGTTTTCTTTGCTATATTGTATTCTGTCCTTTGAAGTATACCACTGTTGTTCATCCCTTCAATCAATGATGGGCATTTGAGCCATTTCTAGTTTGTGACTTTTTATTAACAGTGCTGCCACAGCATTCTTTTACAAAGGATACATGTGCATGAATTTATCTACCAGACCATGGAATTTCTGGGTCATATATCTTGCACTTTACTAAATAGTACCAAAATAATTACCTAAGTGGGTGCACAAATTTATGCATGCACAGCAATATTTGAAACATCTCATTGCTTCATGTCCCTACCAAAACATGGTTCTGATAGTTTTTTTAAAAACATTTTTATGAGAGGGGCGCCTGGGTGGCTCAGTCGTTGGGCGTCTGCCTTCGGCTCAGGTCGTGATACCGGGGTCCGGGATCGAGTCCCACATCGGGCTCCCTGCTCAGCGGGAAGCCTGCTTCTCCCTCTCCCACTCCCCCTGCTTGTGTTCCTGCTCTCGCTATCTCTCTCTCTCTGTCAAATAAATAAAATCTTTAAAAAAAAAACAACAAACATTTTTATGAGATATAGCATATATAAAGTGCACAAATCTTAAGAATAGAGCTGTATCACAGTTTCCTAAATTAACATTAAGAACTTTGCCAGCGCCCCAGAAGATTCCCTTATACCCCTTCTCAGTTATTTCTCCCACAATCGTTATTCAGAAGTCTTATCACCATTAATGACCCATTCCTGAACTTCTATATAAATGGAATTGTATAGCATGTGCTCTTTTATGCCTGGTCTCTTTTCTTCCACATTATGTCTGAGACTCATCCATGTTGTTGAGTGTCATTGTTCTAAGTTCTCTTTACATATGGGATATATTGCAATTAATTAATTGCTTATACTATTGATGGACATTTGATAGTTAACATTTCTTTGGCTATTACGAACTGTATTGCTGCTATGAACATTCTGTTTTTGGTGAACATGTAAATACTTTTCTGTTAGCTAAATACTTAGGAGTGGAATTGCTAGATCATACACTGGGCATATATTTAATAAATACTACCAATTTGTCATGTGGTTGTACCAATTCATCCAGCAATATATGAGTTTCAGTTGCTCCTCATCGTCTCTGTTTGATATCGTCAGTCTTTTATTTTAACTATTCTGGTGGTTGTATAGTAGAATTTCATCGGTTTTAATTTGTGTTTCCCTGATGGGTAATGATGTTCAGCACCTTTTCATAGGTTTATTGGCCATTTGGATATCCTGGTTTTTAAAGTGTCTGTTTAGGTCTTTCTGCCCACTGCCCTTTAAAAAAAAATTTTTTTTTTTTCATTTTAAAAAACTTTTTATTTTTATATTGTAAATATAGTGTAAAGAATTCCTATATATTCTTCACTCAGGTGCCCTTGGTACAATGATGAAAATCAGGAAATCTACTGGCTAATTTACAGACTTTATTTAAATTTTGCTAATTGTCTTATCAGTGCCCTGTTCTTTTCAGGATCCAATTGAAGATTCCCACATTGATTTAATTGTCTTATCTCTTCCCATCAGACATAGTTCTTTTTTTTTTTTTTAAGATTTTATTTATTTCAGAGAGAGAGAGAGAGGGCATGCGTGCACAAGCGGGGGGAGGGGCAGAGGCAGAGGGAGAAGCAGCTCCCCACCAAGCAGGAAGCCTGCTGCGGGGCTAGATCCCAGGACCCTGAAATCATGACCTGAGCCGAAAGCGGATGTTTAACCAACTGAGCCACTCAGGCACCCCCAGACATAGTTCTTTAGCCTTTTTTATCTTTCATGACCTTGACACTTCTGAAGAGTACTGGCCAGTTATTTTGTAGACTATCATTCCATTTGGATTTTTCTGCTTTTTCCCTCATGGTTAAATTTAGACTATGCATTTTTGGCTAAAAGATTACAGAAATTATGTTTGTCTTCTTCTCAATGTGTCATATAATGTTATCAATATATTTCATTACTGGTAACGTTAACTATGATCACTTGGTTGAGGGGTTATCTGCCAGGTTTCTCTTTTGTAAAACTACGATTTTTCTCTTTTTAATTAATAAGTATCTTGTGGGGAGATGCTTTGAGACTATGCAAAAATACTGTCCTCATGGGTGTGCCTGATTGGCACAGTCAGAAGAACATGGGACTCTTGATCTTGGAATCATGAGTTTGAGCCCCACTTCGGGATATAGAGATTACTTAAATAAACTTAAAAAAGATGTTCTCATCATACTTTCACCCATTAACTTTAACATCCATTGATCATTCTTGTCTAACAATTATTACTGTGATGTTTGTCTAGTGGTGATTTTCTCTTTCCATCATTCCTTCTATATTTATTAATTTAAATTCTGTAAAGAGCTGTCCTTTATTCCTCATGTGTTTATTCAATTATTTATTAACTCTTGGGTATTTATTTTACTCTATGAGTTTTAATCCATTAGTATTGTTATATATTTTGTTCAAATTGTCCCAGATTGGGCCATTAGGAACTCCTTCAAATTAGCTCCTGTGTCCTTTTAACATGGCATCATTTTTGAGTACTTTCTTATGGTTATGTATATCTTTTCCCATTTTCCTAGAAGGTTTTTAGCCCTTTGTCTTTTATGATTAGTGCTTTTTTTGTATCTTGAAAAGAAATCTTTATTTCCAAGTTCCTGAAGGTATTCTTCTGTTTTCTTTTGGAAGGTTTATAGATTTAGTCTGTGGTCCATCTTGAATTAATTTTTGTGTATGGTATTTATGGAAAACACCATCCTTGCCCATCTGAATTACAGGAGGCTTTTATCATAAGTTAGGTGACATATATGTGGCCCTCTTTCTGGACCGTATTCTGTTTTATTATCATTTTGTCAGTGCCACTGTCTTGAAATCTATAGTATTAGTCCTTCAACCTTTTTTCTTTTCTTTTTCAAGAATGTCTTGGCTTTTTAAAGTCGCTTTAATGGATGTCAGAATCAACTTGTTAATTCTTTTTTTTTTTTTAAGATTTTATTTATTTATTTGAGAGAGAGATCATGAGCAGGGGGAGAGGGTAGAGGGAGAAGCAGACTCCCCACTGAGCAGGGAGCCTGATGTGGGACTCAATCCCAGGACTCTGCGATCATGACCTGTGCCTAAGACAGACGCTTAACCAACTGAGCCACCCAGGCGCCCTCAACTTGTTAATTCTCACAAAAAATGAAAAATCCTTTCTGGGGTTTTGTGTGTGAGTCTGTATGTTACTTTGGGAAGAATTGCCATCCTATCAATATTGAATCTTCCAATTAATAAATGTAGTGTATGTCTACATTTGTTAAGATCTTTAATTTCTCTCAACACTTTGTTGTAGTTTTCAGTGCACATCTTTTGTTAGATTTGTACCTGGATATTTGACATTTATTGTTGAAACTGTACATGGTTTTTAATTTTTTTTTTATTTTCCAGTTCTGTTGCTAGAAGTACAGTTGTTTTTTGTATATTGTCCTTGTATCTAGCATCTACAAAATACCTATTGTATATGCTTTTATCAAGTTGAGGAAGTTCTCTTTCTCATTTGCTAAGATTTTTACATTAATGAAGTCTGAGTTTGGCAAATGCATTTTCTCTATCAAGAGGATCATATGTTTTTTACTGTTATCATCAATGTGGTAAATTATCTTAATTTTCAGATCTTGAACAAACTTTTTGTTCCTGAAGTAAACCCTACTTTCCATAATGTATTAAACTTTTTAAGAATTTGACTGGGTTAGGGTGCCTGGGTGGCTCAGTTGGTTAAGCGACTGTCTTCAGCTCAGGTCATGATCCCAGAGTCCTGGAATCAAGTCCCACATCGGGCTCCTGGCTCAGTGGGGATCCCTCCGACCCTATCATCTCTCATGCTGTTTCTTTCTCTCTCTCTCTCAAATAAATAAATAAATAAATAAAATCTTAAAAAAAATAAAAATTAAAAAAAAGAATTTGGGTTAGATCTGCTAAAACTTTATTGAATTTCTGCATTTATGTTCATGAGAAATATTGGCCCATGGTTTTCTTTTCTTTTAATATCTTTGTTTTGGCATCAGGCTTATATTAGCCTCATAAAATGAGTTAGGAAGAATTCCCTGTGTTTTTCTATTCACTTTCTTTTCTGTTCATTTTCTATTAGTCTTATATAGAATAAAGGTTTTCCTTAAATTTGGAAGAATTCACTGATGAAGCTCTCTGGGCCTGAAATTTTCTTGATAGGAAGATTTTTATTTTATTTATTTATTTAGAGAGGCTTAAGCAGAGGGACGAGCAGAGGGGGAGGGTGAGGAAGGGGAAAGAATCCCAAGCAGACTCCATGCTGAGCACAGAGCCCAACACTGGAGCCCAGTCTCAGGACCCTGAGATCATGACCTGAGCTGAAACCAAGAGCCAAATGCTTAACTGACTGAGCCACCCAGGCACCCTGGAGATTTTTAAACTATGGAATCAATTCACCTCTTCAGATGTTTCAGGTTTTTTGTTTGTTTTGTCCATTTTGGCATGTTTTTTAAAGGATTTATCTGTTTAATCTAAGCTTTCAAATTTAATAGCATAAAGTTATTAGTATTCTCTTACTATGTTTTTAATGTCTATGGTGTCTATAATGATGTTCCCTTTTTCATTCCTGATTTTGTTTATTTGTGTTATCCCTTTCTTACTCATTAATGTGTCTTTTCTTCTTCTGGGTACTATCAAGACTTTTTTTCTCTTATTGCGGCTTTGCTTTTTGTTTTGTGTGTTTTCCTTTTTATTTTTTATTCAGGTTTGCTGAGCTTCTTGAAAATTTTGTTGAGGCTTTTTATCAGTTAATCAGTTCAGATATTAATTATTCTCCAATCTCTTTTCTTCTTCAGAGGCTCCACTTACATATATGCATATCAAATACATTACATTACATTACATACATTACAAATCTTTTGACTGTGTCCCTTTTGTCTTACACTCACTTCTGTTCTTTCTGTTGTATTTTTTTTTTTTAAGATTTTATTTATTTTAGAGAGAGAGTGAGAAAGAGCATGAGAGGGGAGATGGTCAGAGGGTGAAGCAGACTCCCCATTGAGCAGGGAGCCCAATGCGGACTCAATCCCAGGACTCCAGGATCATGACCTGAGTTGAAGGCAGTCACTTAACCAACTGAGTCACCCAGGCGCCCGTTTCTGTTCTGTTTTTCCTCTGCACTTCATGTGGGTTTTTTTTTTTGTTTTTGACTTGTCTTTGAGTTCAGTAGTCCTATCCTCTGCTTGTCTGGTCTTATGTTAAAACCATACAATGACTTCTTAATTTTTTTTTAAGTTTATATTATTTTATTATTTTTTTAAAGATTTTCTTTATTTATTTGTCAGAGAGGAAGAGAGAGCACAAGCAGGGGGAGCAGCAGGCAGAGGGAGAAGCAGGCTCCCTGCTGAGCAAGGAGCCTGATGTGGGACTCGATTCCAGGACCCTGGAATCATGACCTGAGCTGAAGGCAGACACTTAACCAGACTGAGCCACACAGGCATCCCTATTTTATTTTGTTTTTTTAGTAATCTCTACACCCAATATGGGGCTTAAACTCACGACCCCAAGATCAAGAGTCGAATGCTCTTCTGTCTGAGCCAGCCAGGTGCCCCAACTTCCTAATTTCTTAATTTACTGATCTAGGTTGTCTATTTGATTCTCTTTTATAGATTTCAGTTCTGTTTAATTTCTTCATCTTATCCATTTGCCTATATTTTTTAGTTTTTAACATTTTAATTATAGCTATTATAAATTGTTTGCCAGTTCCAATATCTGAATCACCCATAGTACTGCTTCTATTTTCTGGTTTTCTCTCCAAGTATGTCTAGCAATTTTTAGTTGAATGATAGATATTGTGTCTAAAACAACCATGGAGGCGAAGGGCAACCACTACCTACATCTAGCCTTCTCATTATAAAGAAAAATTAGTGCTTTTCAGGTTTTTGTTAACTAACAAATACAATTCTCAGCATACAGGAAATTTTTAGGATAATGTTGGAAATAATTCAGACATTATATTTTTATTAAAAGAATGGCTTATTATTTAGAAGAGTGCAAAATTCTCAAAAATTTTATTAACTAGATTTCAAAGGACTCTCTTGTCTGTAGTGGTATCTTTTGGCGGTGCTCCATACCCAAGGTGTGGTTATTTTGCAAGTACACTACAGTCTTGGCCCCAGAAATCATTGGCTTTAAAAGGGAGGAGCAGATTCCCCAGATGGCAAGAATTCAGCCAGAGAATATTACTCTGGGAGCAAACATGAAGAGGGTTGGGAATGTAACAAACAGTATGGAGCTACTGAAGTAAGAATGTTTCCTGCCCATTCTACCTGGAAGGTACAGCACTTGAGGATGCCCCTTTAACCAAGGAAAGGCCATTACAAGAGACCAGAAAGGGAGACTTAAAGTGAGAAGTATGGGAGAAGGAGCCCTGTTTCCAAGTCTTCCTGGATTATTATTGATTCTTTAGAATCTAGCACAATGCCTGCCACATAATAGATTATGTTGGTTTATAAAGAAAAAAATACTGAGAGCTTAATAAATAGTAATAATAATAAAAATATTAAAGGAGTGCTTTCAGATTTTAAAGAAGAGACATTTGTAGATTACTTTCGTTTCCTGAAATATATATATCCCTGGGGGTGAGTGCTTGGGGGTAGAAGTATCCATTAAATAATTGATAACAAGGTTCTACTTCCTAGGTGGCCAGTTTTACATGCAATTATTTTTTTTTTTTAAGATTTTATTTATTTGGGAGAGAGAGAGAGAGAGCACAAGCAGTGGGGAGGGGTTGCAGGAGGGAGAAGCAGATTCCACGCCAAGCAGGGGGCCTGATGCGTGACTCGATCCCAGGACTCTAGGATCATGACCTGAGCCTAAGGCAGGCTTAACCGACTGAGCCACCCAGGTGCCCTACATGCAATTACTGATAAATTATTTAATGACCAAGAAGCTTTGTACTAGGAATGCTCACTGCCCTTTATACTTTTATAATGCTGTCTTTATTATATTCCTATATCTAATATTATCTAACAAAAAAAGCCATATTTCATTAAACATTTCAACATTGATCTCAAATTCATTTACTCCCCTTAAACAATTTAGACTTCTATTAGTATTTTAGTATAACATTCTTTTGGACATTTTAAACATCTTAAGCACACAAAATATATACAATTATTACAAATTTTATTACTACATTTACAATTAAAAGCATTCTAAAGCATCAGTGATAAGGATTTATTCCATTTCTATAGTTTTTAATTCATTCCTATTGTTAAGTTAATTTAAGTATCTTCCTAAAGTTTTTGTAATATTGCTTTGTTTCCTTTTCTGGATTTCACTTTTCTTAAGATAAAATTCACTAACCCCAAAAAGTTTTCTCAAACTGGGTAAGATTGGAGGATCTGGTTCATCAACCAGTTGTTTCTTTTTTTTTTAAGATTTTATTTATTTATTGGACAGAGAGACATGTGAAAGCAGGAACACAAGCAAGAGGAGTGGGAGAGAGAGAAGCAGGCTTCCCGTGGAGCAGGGAGCCCAATGCGGGGCTCGATCCCAGGACCCCGGGATCATGACCTGAGCCAAAGGCAGACGCTTAACGACTGAGCCACCCAGGCGCCCCTAACCAGTTGTTTCTTGGTCAGGACCTGGGACCTGATTGTACAACCCAAGATCATTAAAACTGTTTTGACAAATGTACACCCAAACTAATATGTGTATGAACAACTTTTAGGAATTATTCAGAATTCATATAAAAGTAAAATAAAATACATATAAGGATATTTATTACAGCATTGTTTGTTACAGTGAAAGACAGGAAATAGCCCAAATGGTCATGGGCAGCAGGTTGGTTAAATAAAGTGTATCCATTTAATGAAATAAATGTAGCTAAGGGAATTACATAGCTCTGTATGTACTAGTTGGGATCCAGTTCAAGATACATTAAATAAAGGGGCGCCTGGGTGGCTCAGTTGGTTAAGCAACTGCCTTCGGCTCAGGTCATGATCCCAGAGTCCCAGGATCGAGTCCCGCATCAGGCTCCCTGCTCAGCAGGGAGTCTGCTTCTCCCTCTGACCCTCCTCCCTCTCATGCTCTCTGTCTCTCATTCTCTCTCTCGCAAATAAATAAAAAAATCTTAAAAAAAAAATTTTTTTTTAAAAGATACATTAAATAAAAATAGCAGTATGTATAACTGTGTATAATATGCCATCATTTGTGTAAAAAAATTTGTATCTTTGTGTGTATATATACGCTATATTCTCCAAGCCAGATCTGATTGTTGAAATCTATCCTACTCCAGTCAAAGACTGAGGTCTCTGGAGTCGGAGATAATGAAAGGTTTGCCCATTTTTGTAATTGATAACCCTCAGGTGTTTGTATGGGGTGAACAGAGGGGAATGATCATTCTGGGAGCTATGAGGCAAGTGGAATCTTATGTAGTTTCTTTTGTCTTCCCCAGTTTTGCCCTTTTCCAAGAGGAGCCCAGAGGAGGACTGGTCTTTTTCTGCAAATACCAAAGCCATGGCTCAGGTGAGATGCAGTTTCCTTTTGCTCAAATAGAATCATTTTTACCCCTAGTACATGTAAACATTTGCTTTCCTCATCATGATATTTTTGGTGTTTAAAAAAAAAACAACTTTCAAACAGTTTAGTTAAAAGCAGTGTAAATGTCAAAGTTCTCTTACACTTGCTCTAAAGAAAAAGGTCTCCAATAAGTCAATTAAAAGAATGTCTGTCTTGGTGGAGATATTTACAGAAAAAAGAACTGGTTCCATAACCATTGTTGGAAAAAAGAAAATCTGGTTAAAGATTTTTACATTCTTAAATTACAGGTAACAGAGGGCCAAGTGGTTCGATAACAACTCTCTGAAGATGTCTTAATCAGATTAAAATCCATCAGAAAATTACTTATGGATCCCATCAAGAATCCTTATTTGTTCCTACAAAGAGATTGTTAATTACATAATGTAAAAATGGTCTGACTGAGACCAGGTTTGGAAAAGAAAATTTTACCCTGGTTAACATGGTCCCCATTCAGGAACCTGATCCCCATTTCTTCATAAACAACCCCAAGGCCCTCCCCAGTTCCCTGTTCTTTTAACCAGTGTTTACAAACTCATTTAGTAAGTCCTTCAGCATCTTCTGTCTTAGACTTCTGCCAGAAAGCTTGATAGAACAGAAATGTGTTCCCCATTTGTTAATGAATCTAATATGCTTGGACAGTGATTGGATGGGATGGAGATAATTAGGGGCACTCATAGGGAAAAGCCCTGATCATCACAGACCTAGGTTTTCAAAGAAGAAAATACAAGGAATGGGTTTTGCTTGATTTCAGTCTTAATACATGGGAAAATCTGGTGTATGAGCCTTTCAGGTTTGGGGATATGATTCCTGGTTAGTAGAAAGCTCTCCTCACCAGATCATCCATGATAAATAGACTTTAGTAATGCTTTTGTGTGAATCTGGATCATCTACCATCACTTTCCTATAGCGCAGGAACAAAGGGAATTTACAGTTGAGCAGTGGGCAGTTATAAGTATAAGACTGGGCCAATACTGGGGAGCTCTTTAAAAATAACCTTCAACCTCAGTGTCTGAAAACCAAAGAAAACTTGTTTTATATCCATATTATAGGATATTATTCAGTGAAAAAATTTGCTTATGAAAAGAATTTGTTGTAACAAGGAATTAACTATTATATAATAGTGTGAGATGAGAAAGGATCAGTCTTGAATTTAATGCAAATTTAATTTTCTAAGATAAAATAGTTTTTAAAGTCATTTTACACTTTTACAAGTGAAGTAGTGCTATTTCAATCTTACCCCATCACGAGTCCCACTCCTAAAAGGTGACTCAACTCTCTTGAATATGGTTTAATTGCTATCTTTTGATGAATCAGTTTTACTCTCTTGACTTACTACAGAGTGGAAGGGACATCGTACTCTTGTATTGCACCATTTCCTCTGATTCTGTTATTAATTATACTTTTTGTCAAATCAGTAGTATACAGAATATTATGACTGCAAATGTTGCTCACTGCTGAGCCAGCTCATACCTCTGTTCTATTACAACCTTTCATTTTTCCTGGGGTTAATTGCTTTTTTTCCCCATTTGTTTAGTTGTCCATGTTTTCCCTCTGGTCAGACACATCAGTTTGTTCTGAGTGTGGAGACTGCCATCCCCCTTTTCCCTTTTTCCTGCTCCCACCTGGTCTGGTTACTCTCTGGGCCTGCTGCGTAGCTTTCCCAAGATTTCCCCTTTTTTGTTTACCTGAGATTTCCTTTCACTGTTCTCCTGTGGTTAATTCACCTATTTCTTGAATACTACATCTTCCTCTTTTTTGGTTACTCCCTCCCTTTGGGTGGAACACATCTTCTGGTAGTTTCTAAGAAATTGTGCTGGAGTCCTTTTATGTCTAGAAATGTCTTTTTTCTTTTTTTTTTTTAAAGATTTTATTTATTCATTTGACAGAAAGAGAGACAGCAAGAGAGGGAACACAAGCAGGGGGAGTGGGAGAGAGAGAAGCAGGCTTCCCACTAAGCAGGGAGCCCGATGCGGGGCTCAATCCCAGGACCCCGGGATCATGACCTGAGCCGAAGGCAGACGCTTAACGACTGAGCCACCCAGGTGCCCCTAGAAATGTCTTTTTTCAACCCTCACAACAGAACGATAGTTGAGTTATGAAATCTAGGTCAGAATTTCTTTTCTCCATTAGCATATTGAAGAATTGTTCTTATCATTTCTTGTTTTTAGTAGTGTTCTTGAGAACCTCATTGCCTCTCTGACTCTTGAAGTCTTTTATATGATCTGCTCTCTGGGTACTTACAATGTCTTCTCTTTATCCCTTATTCTGAAATTTTACTCTTAGCTATTTGGGAAAAGAAGAGAGAGAAAGAGGCTCACATGTGTTGTTGACTTATTGTATGGCAAGTATTATGCTAGCCATTTGTATATATTATTTCATTTAATTGGGATACCCCTCTTAGCAGGATTTTGTACCTTCCCAGTTTTATCCGGGGGAGACAGAATGAACATGGAAACACAAGATTCAGTCCAGCTTATATGTTTACGGTCCTCCACTTGCGTCCCAAGCATCCAGCCCTATTCTATATGCTTGCTGTTTTTCACTTCTACCTTCGTTCTTTTCTTCTTTCTTTCCTTCACAAAAAAAAAGAAAACAAACAAACAAAACAAAACACTTCTTTTTATTAATCAAGTCATATACATGGTTGTTGTTCCAGGAGTCAGTGGTGTTCAGTGATGTGTCCATAGACTTCTCTCAGGAGGAGTGGGAATGCCTGAATGATGATCAGAGAGATTTATACAGAGATGTGATGTTGGAGAATTACAGCCACCTGGTTTCAATGGGTAAGGACGTCTGTCCATAATAATTCAGATTCTGCCCTTAGAAGGTCTACTTTGTCCCATGTGAAATACCCACCTTTCAAGTAGGTATTTCTATATTCTGTGCTTGAGGAATGTTTTGAATATTGTAACATTAGAAAAAAGAAGCTGTGTTGAGTTATGGGGGAAGTTTCAAGTCCTCTGTTATGTTTCATAAATCTGATATACCTTTCTTTGACTCTTTCTTAATGAAGGGACTAAATTTGAATCCTGGGATATTCTCATCATAAACTTATCTCATTACTTCTTTTGTAAGCAGGACATTCTGTTTCTAAACCAGATGTGATCTCCTTCTTGGAGCAGGGGAAAGAGCCCTGGTTGGTTGACAGAGAACTAACAAGAGAGCAGTGGCCAGGTAAGTGAGGCGTGGCAGGTAATGACCCAGTTGTCAGTGGAAAGACTGCACCTTTGAGGTGCTATCTGGGAATCTCCCCGTAAAAGCTTTAGGCCCCTTGTACACAAGTAAGCCTTTTCAGCATGTGCTTTCAAATGACCTTACCTTTTCCCCTTATTTAACACACTCTACCTGTTTTTCTCCTCTTATACTTCTAATTCCTCTTAGTCTTGCCCAGTTCTAACCTGCCAGTGACCTCCTCTACTCTCTCTAATGATATTCCTTTCTATCCATATTTTGGATCTAATTCCTCATCACTTCTCATCCTCTTTTGTATTTAATCTTAAAAAAGCACCACTCTCTCCTGAAATATATTTTTATTCTGTATTGCCAAACATTTATTTTCTTTAGGGTGTTTTAGATAAAGTAGCTCATATAGTCATTGCTTCATTCATACTTATAACAAACATTTACTGATTTTCGAATGTGTGAGGTACTCTGCTAGATACTGCAGAGATTAAAAAAGGAATAAGCAGTTGCAGAATGTATAGCTTAATAGGGGCACTACAACACGTCTATATATAACTTCTATAAAGTAGAACCATCATAAGAGAGGTTAAAGTAGGGAGCTCAGAAAAAATGAGGGATTAGGATATAGAAGAGAAATTGATCTGTATAGATGTCATAGAGGGAGATTTGAGTGTGCCTGTCATTAACTTTAGATAGAATGTTGGAAATGAAGGCTCTGTGCCTCCATTGAGAACTTAGAGCTGGCAGAGATCAACAGAATTGGTATGCAGGAGTTTAAACAGGACAGCACATTCATTCATTCATTCAGTATATGTTTATTGAATATCTGTTGTATGCCCAGCACTCTTCTCAACACTGATGTTACAGCAGTGAATAGAACATGCAAAATCTCTATTCCCAGAGCTTACCCTCCAATGCTGAGAGAGATACAAAAATAAATGAATATATGTCATGTAATAGTAAGTGCTAAAAAGAAAAAGTAGAGAAAGGGGATAGAGGATGCTATTTTATAGGATGGGGTAAGAGAAACTTTTCCAATTAGGTGACATTTTGGCAGAAACTTGAAGTATAGCAGTAAATCATTATATGTGGTTACTGGAAGGAAGAACATTCCAGAGGGAGGAAGTCAGACATTCAGGGGCCCTGAAGCAGGTGTGCATTGGCTGTGTTCAAGGAGCAGCCAGGAGACCAGTGCTTTACCCTGGTTGTTTAACTATTTCAAGTAAATCCAAGACTTCATGTCATTTCACCTTTGCATAATCTCAGTATATAGTTCTAAAATATATGGACATTTTTTTCCCTTACATAATTTTAATGCCATCATCATCCCTAATAAATTTTACAATTTCTTGGTACACTGAATGGTTTTCATGTCATTATATTGAATACTGGTGAGAGTGGACATTTTCATCTTAATGGTGCTATTGTCTTTAACTTGGTCTCTACTAAGTTTTACCCTTTTTATCTATTACTATCATTTTTCCAGTCAGTTTTTATGGACTTTATCAAATAAAAACATCCATTTACCCATTTCCAGAAGGTGCTTTTACTTTTTAATTTTAATTTGCGTTGGCGTCTTTAATATGTATTTTCAATGTGTTTATAGCTCCTTAGTGATTATTGTGATTTCTGATTTTAAAAAATTAACGGTCCTCTACAAATTTTGTAATACTGTATTCTGTTGTTTTTAAATTTTTCTGTAATTTGTTTTATACCATTTAAATCCATTTTAAGTTTCTTTTGCAATAAGGTATAAATTGAGAGTCTAAATCAATTAACCTCCATCTCTCACACACACACATTTTAGCAGCATGTCATCATTTAGCTCATTCATCATTGTTTTATCTGCCTGTTCAATAATAAGTTCTGATTTATGTTAGTTTGCATTTCAGGGCCTCTTTTTCTATTTCTTTTATCCATCTGTCCACTTATGCCTACAGAGATAGATATGCCTAGCAGAAGTTACTATATTGTCATTTTTCTTATTGGAGATTATCACAAATAATGTAACAAACTGCAGATGGACATTCCAACAGTTGTGAAATGAACTTTCACAGAACCATTACCCAGGTCAAGAACTACAGCACTACCAACACAGATCTCTTTGTGTCCACAATATCTTTGTGTCCTTTCATAGTTTTACTATCTAAGAGTGCCATTGAGCATTTTGTTTTTAAGATTCATACATAGTGTTGCTTGTAGTCTTGATTCATTTCATTATATGAATATACCACAGTTTAACAGTTGTATTGTTCATTGACATTTGGATTGTTTATAGTTTTTGACCATGACAATGAGCTACTATGAACATTTTCTGTTTTAGAACTAGGAGAGAAGTGAGTGGATCATAAGACATAATGTCTTCAGCTGCCAAATTTTCAACTTTTCTTTAATGCCTCTACTAGTTTACAATCGCACCAGCGTATATGAGAACTCTCATTATTGCACGTTTCTTAACATATGGTATTGTCATGCTTGGATTTTTTCCAATTGATGAGTATATAGTATAGTTCAGTGTGATTTTAGTTTGCATTTCCCTTTTTACTGATGCGTTTGACACATTTCATATTATTGGTCTCTTGAAATTCTTCTTAGTGAATTGCCTATTCAGGTCTTTTTAAAATGTCTTTCTGTTGGATTGTCTCTAATTTTTTTAATGATGTGTAAGGATTCTCTATATATTTTGCTTATAAGTACATTCAGTGTTCTAAAATTGTAAATACCTTCTCTCATTCTGAAATGTCTTTTAGCTCTCTTTATGGTTTCATTTTGTGAACAGAAGTTCTTAATTTTAGTCAAATTTATGAGTGTTTTGTGCTTCACACTCATTGGATCTTAAGTGAGAAATTCTTCTTCAGCTTGTTTTAGAATCTTACATAAACAGAATCACATTATCTGTACTTTTTTGTCCTCTTTAAGAAGTCTTTGCTTACCATAAGACCATGAACAGAACATATTCTCTATTATTTGAGGTTATAATTAGACATTAGAACATATGGATTATCCTTAGTGTCTGTTACTTTTTATCCTTTTTTTACAATTTATACTGCCTTTACATGGAATTCCTTGGCTTATTTTGTATTAGCTCACTAATACATTCTTCAGCTATGACCATTTGGCTCTTCAGCCTATCCATTAAGTTTTTTATTTAAAAAAAAAAAGTATAGTTATTTATTAAAAACAAAAACAAAAACCGTAGGGATGCCTGTGTGGGTCGCAGTTGGTTAAGCATCTACCTTCGGCTCAGGTCATGATCCCGGAGTCCAGGGATCAAGTTCCACCTCCGGCTCCTTGCTCAGCGGGGAGCCTGCGTATCCCTATGCCTGCCGCTCCCCCTGCTTGTGTGCACGCACTCTCTCTCTGACAAATAAATAAATAAAATCTTTATAATAAATAAATAAGTAAATAAATAATACTGTATACAAAAGGGGCCCTTGGGTGGCACGGTTGGTTAGACGTCCAACTCTTGGTTTCAGCTCGGGTCGTGATCTCAGGGTCCTGGATCAAGCCCCTCATCTGGCTCCAGGCTCAGTGAGGAGTCTGCTAAAGTTTCTCTCTCCCTCTCTGGCCTTCCCCACACACTCTATCTCTCTCAAATAAATAAATCTTTTTAAAAAAAAACTGTATACACAATAGGATATATATAACATAATGAACATAAAATTATAAGGTAATAACATGTAAATCTCTGGACTTGCATATGCAGGAGATTTGCTAGGAAATATACCTAGGAATGTAATTGCTGGGTCTTGGCATACATACTTACTACTCAGCTTTACTAGGTAATACCAAACCATTTTCCAAGTGTTTGTATCACTGTCTTTCCCTATAATTGATACTGAAAGATTTTTTTTCATTTTTTAATAATCTGATGAGTATAAAATCTTATTTTATTGTTTTAAGTTACATTTTCCTTGTTACTATTAAAGATGATTGCCTTTCCTTATTTGGCCATTATTGCCCCTTCTGTGTAATGCCATTTTGATCATTTTTGTATTAGGCCATTTGTCTTTTTTCTAAGATTGTAGGAATTTCTTACATATTTTGAGGATACTAATTTTTGGTCAATAACATATTTTGTAGACATCTTTTCCTGTTGTAGGTTCTTTATTTACCTTATGATGTCTTTTGATGAACAGCAATTCTGTATGTTAGTGTGGTTAAATTATATATATAATGGTTAAGTTATATATAGTTTATAAAACAGTCTACTTTTTTTTGCTATATGCTTCATATCTTTGGGTCTTTTTTTTTTTCTTTTTGAAGATTTTATTAAGTAATCTCTACACCCAACGTGGAGCTCAAATTCACATCCCTGAGATCAAGAGTTGCATGCTCTACTGACTGAACCAGCCAAGTGCCCCCATATCTTTGAATCTTAAACCTTTTCCTAGCCCAATTTTCCTCTATTTTTTCTTTCAAGAATTTTTGTGTTTTGGCTTTCTTATTAAAGCCCTATTAACATAACCAAAATTTATTTTTATGAATGGTTTGAGGTAGAGATCAGTTGTAATTTTTTCCCATATAAAAACAAATTATCTTTTCCCCATTGAATGAAAAGTCCATCCATTTTCCACTGATCCACCAATCCACATGTTCCTTCTGCATATATTAAAATTTTGTGTATATATATGTCTCTCTTGTCGCATTGGCCTTTTTATCTATCCCTGTCCTAATTAGTCTTACTTTTATAAAAAGTCCTGATCTCTGACAAGACAGAACCGTCCACCCTTTCCTTCAGAAATGTTTGGTTATACTTTGTTTTCCATATAAATTTAAAAATTTACATTAAGTAAAGTTTCATTAAAAATGTTTTTTGGGGCGCCTGGGTGGCTCAGTTGGTTAAGCGACTGCCTTCGGCTCAGGTCATGATCCTGGAGTCCCGGGATCGAGTCCCGCATCAGGCTCTCTGCTCGGCAGGGAGTCTGCTTCTCCCTCTGACCCTCCTCCCTCTCATGCTCTCTGTCTCTCATTCTCTCTGTCTCAAATAA